GGGGCAATATGCTGATTCTGTAAACCTCTTAGAGAGGGCTGAAAGCCCTATGAAGCGGTATATAAGTCTAACTGCTATTTTCTCCCCCAGTCACACCTGTATTTCTGCCTGGAAAAGCTGCACTTTGGTTTACCTCTAGAACAAAGCAGCTCTGTTCCCCTCCCCCACCCCCAATAATGGACCAAACCATTAGGGGGGGGCGGAGGGGGGAACCATTTAGTATCTAAACCAGGGGTGCCAAATTCACATCATTACAGCAGTGTCACGTGGCGTATTAGGACTCCCCCCCCCTTTGCTGAACCAGGCAGGGGCGTAGCCAGCACATGACGGATCCGCCCCATGGGCTGCAAGTTTGACAGACCTGATCTAAACTTAGCATTATGAGCAGATTTTTTAAAAAAAAGTTAGCCACTTATTTATGTTCCTTAATAAACTTTTCACTAAATTTGTTTTTATTTTGGCACAAAATAAATATTTCTTCATATCTCTCTTCTGGGAATAATGAAGTTACTTGCAAATTTAATGATTGAACTCACATCCCCAAAGCTTTTGGTGTCTCTCCCCTTTCTCCATACGTCTCCCAACACATAAGTGAAGATGGAGAAGAGAAAAGATACAAGTGGAAGGAGAAGGGCACCATTTTGTCTCTTCCTTCCACTAAAAGATGGTTGACCGACATATGCGCGCTCGACAAAAGCGCGCTGACGAAACCGCGGTGAGAAAACCGCGAGGTCGAAATCGCGCCGGCGAATGAGCGCAGAAGCGCGCCGACAACAGCGCGCCTTCAACAAACAACTAATAACAACCTAATAATCCTAAACCTAACCCTAACCTAACCTTAACTTAAATCGCGCTTTTGTGGGCGTGGTTTTGTCGGTGCGTTGTGGCCGTGTTTATGGCATCACGGTTTTCTCGCTGCGGTTTCGTCGCCGCGCTTTTGTCTTCCGTGCGTTTGTCGGGTCACGCTAAAAGATATCTATTAGAATAGACTCCATTGGATATAAACTACCGTGTTGTCCTTAAGTGAGTTTTGTAATTGTTTTTTTTTTCAGTCTGAGCACCATAAAAAGCAGCAAGAAGCAGAGAAACTCCATCACGAAGAGAGGAGAAAACTCCGACGATCCGCTGGCCATCTCAAAAGCAAACCGGGAAACAGGCGGCGTTTCCATTGATGGAGAACTTTTGGCTCCTTTCCTTTTGGGGACTCAGAAATTTGTTTTAACAGTGGATTGTTCTCCACTGTGACAGAAGAAGATGATCCAAAGCCCAATTATGTTATGGGAAAAGCATCATGGATGTCCTGTTTGCACCAGACGTATTACTGAAATGCTTCTGAAGAGAAAGCAGCTGGTTATTGTATAACCTTTGTGCGTGGTGGCTGATAGGTATACATTCTATGTGAACATGAATAAACATGTATAGTATTGTGATACTTCAAATGGCTCTAATTCTTTTTTTTAATTGAAAATTTTAGAAAAAAAAACTTTTACAAATGTTTACCTCTTCCCCCCGCCCTCCCCCCCAAAAAACCCCACCCCTCAACCTTCCCCCCACCCCTCCCGACT